TTTTTTTTTTCCGGCCAGGATATGAGGATCGAGGGTGGGATGCAGCCATGGTTTGGATGGGCTGATGGGACTCATCCCTGTCACCTCCCGGGATGCAGGTGGGAATTCCAGTCAGCGGGAATTTCTCCTCCCTCTAGTGGCATCTAAACTTTTAAAATTTTAAAATTAATTTTTAAAGCTCCAAGACCTGGGATCTGCTCAATCCCGAGCCCTGGAAAGGCCAAGACCTGGAATTCCTGGAGATTCCAGGACACACAAACTCCCATCGGCCAAACCCAGCCCAGGGCGGAATTCCTTTTCTCTTCCAGGAGATTTCCAGGGATTAAACGTTTTTATTTGAGAGTCCTGCATTCCCCTTTGGGAATGATCCTTTCCCCAGGAAATTCCTGATCCCACCTCAGGAATGATCCTTTCCCCAGGAAATTCCTGATTCCCCCTTGGGAATGATCCTTTCCCCAGGAAACTCCTGCATTCCACCTTGGGAATGATCCTTTCCCAGGAAATTCCTGATCCCACTTCCGGAATGATCCTTTCGTCAGGAAATTCCTGATCCCACCTTGGGAGTGATCCTTTCCCCAGGGAACTCCTGATCACACTTTGGGAATGATCCTTTCCTCAGAAAATTCCTGGTCCTACTTTGGGAATGATCCTTTCCCCAGGAACCTCTGGATCCCACCTTGGGAATGATCCTTTCATCAAGAAATTCCTGATCCCACCTCAGGAATGATCTTTTCTCCAGGAAATTTGCAATCCCAGCTCAGAAATGAACCTTGCCCCAGGAAACTCCTGATTTCACCCTGGGAATGATCCTTTCCCCAGGAAATTCCTGATTCCCACCTTGGGAATCATTCTTTCCCCAGGAAACTCCGGATTCCACCTCAGGAATGATCCTTTCTGCACGAAATTCCTGATCCCACTTCCGGAATGATCCTTTCCCAAGGAAATTCCTGATCTCATATCCAGAATGATCCCTTCCTCAGAAAAACCCTGATTCCACTTTGGGAATGATCCTTTCCTCAGGAAATTCCTGATCCCACCTCAGGAGTGATCCTTTCCCCAGGAAATTCCCAATCCCAGCTCGGGAATGATCCTTTTCCCAGGAAACCCCTGCATTCCACCTTGGGAATGATCCTTTTCCCAGAAAATTCCTGATCCCATCTCTGGAATGATCCTTTCCCCGGGAAATTCCTGATTCCCCCTTGGGAATGATCCTTTCCCCAGGAAATTTCCGATTGCAAGTTGGGAATGATCCTTTTCCCAGGAAATTCCTGATTCCCACCTTGGGAATGATCCTATCCTCAGAAAATTCCAGATCCCACCTTGGGAATGATCCTTTCCTCAGGAAATTCCTGATCCCACTTTGGGACTATTCCTTTTCTCAGGAAATTCCCGATCACACCTCAGGAATGATCCTTTTCCCAAGAAATTCCATCTTGGGAATGATCCTTTCCCCAGGAAATTCCTGATCTCATTTCCAGAATTACCCTTTCCTCGGGAATCTCCTAATCTCATCTCAGGAATGATCCTTTCTCCAGAAAATTCCTGATCGCACTTTGGGAATGATCCTTTCCCCAGGAAACTCCTGATTCCAGCTCGGGAATGATCCTTTTCCCAGGAAATTCCATATCCCACTTTGGGAATGATCCTTTCCTCAGGAAATTCCTGATCCCCCTTTGGGAATGATCCTTTCCTCAGGAAATTCCCGATCCCACTTTGGGAATGATCCTTCCCCCAAGAAATTCCTGATTCCAAGATGGGAATGATCATTTTTTTCCAGGAATCTCCAGATCCCACCCCTGTTATTTCAGCAAATCCCAGGGAATTTAAAATCCATCCCCCGATCCCTGTTTATCCCCTTCGGGAATGGGATCCCGCTCCACCAACATCTCCCGGGCTCATTTCCCACCAGGAAAGGCGGGAATTCTGCCCCTCTGCTCCAGGGCTCAGGTGAGATCCCACCTGGAATTCTGCACCCCGGATCCAACACCAGGAGGACGTGGAGCTGCTGGAGCAATTCCAGAGGAAGTCACGGAGATGCTCCAAGGGCTGGAGAGAGGTGGGAGAGCTGGGAATGTCCAGCCTGGAGAAGGGAAGGATCCAGGGAAACCTCAGAGCCCCTTCCAGAGCCTGAAGGGGCTCCAGGAGAGCTGGAGAGGGAATTTGGGAGAAGGGATGGAGGGACAGGACACAGGGAATGGCTTCCCACTGCCAGAGGGCAGGGATGGATGGGATTTGGGAAGGGATTCTTCCCTGGGAATGTGGTGAGGGGCTGGGATGGCATTCCCAGAGAAGCTGTGGCTGCCCCTGGATCCCTGGAAATGTCCAAGGCCAGGTTGGATGCTGCAACAACCTGGGATGGTGGCAGGTGTCCCTACCCGTGGAAAATGCTGAAATTCCGTGATCTTCCAGGCCTCTCCCACCCCATCCCATTCCATGATTCTGTAATTCCACGATTCCGCATCCGCCGGCACTGAACGACCCCAATCCCACCTCCATCCCCAAAATCCCCCTGCTCCGGGAGGATCCCCCCATTCCCGGGCTCGGAGATTCCATCAGCACCTCGGGAAGGCGGCACCTCCCCCCCGGAGCCTCCGGTGTCCCACAGGAAAGCGCCGGCCCGGCCGGGAATTCCCGTTCCCACCCAGCCGCGGTTCCCGGGAACGGGAATTCCGCCCCGGATCGGTCTCCTCAGCCCGGCCGGGGCTCCTTAACGTGGCCAAAAGCACCAATTAAGGGAAGATAAACGCATTAATTAACGACCCGCCTCGGGTATCCCCGGAAAGCTGCGGCTGCTCCGTGCCTGGAATTGTCCCGAGTTGGGTTGGGATGGTGGGAGGTGGAAAAAGATGGATTTTAAAACTCCTTTCCAATCCAAACCATTCCATAATTCCAGATCCCACTTTGGGAATGATCCTTTCCCCAGGAAATTCCAGATCCCACCTTGGGAATGATCCTTTCCTCAGGAAATTCCCAATCCGAACTTGGTAATGATCCTTCTCCCAAGAAATTCCTGATTCCATCTTGGGAATGATCCTTTCCTCAGGAAATTCCTGATCCCACCCCTGTTATTTCAGCAAATTCCAGGGAATTTAAAATCCATCCCCCGATCCCTGTTAATCCCCTTTGGGAATGGGATCCCGCTCCACCAACTTCTCCCGGGCTCATTTCCATAATTCCGTGATTTGCAGATTTAATCCATAAAAAATGGAGGAGAGACAGGAATGTCTCCGGACGTTGTCCTTGGGAACGGAGCAGGAATTTCCTGGGAAAAGGATCATTTTCAGGAAGAAAACAGGAGTTTCCTGGCTCCCTTCTCCTTCCCGAGGGAAATTGTCCCTGCCAGGAGCTCCCCAGACCGGCGGGACCGGCCGTGGTTGTGCCGTGAATCATCCCAGCTCCTCGGGGAGATCTTATCCAGGGAAATCACCGAAAACCACAAAATTAGAATTTCCAATCCTAAAAACGAATTTCAAGAGGATGAGAAATTATTCCTTCAGGGAATCTTCAAAATCTAAAATACCCCTAAGGTGAAGAAACACCTTTTCCTGATGTTTTTCCCTCTTCCTCCTTGATTTCTGGAGGATCCAACTCAGTGGAGACCCACCAGGGCTCGAGCATGAGGAACCATCCACAAACCATCCTTGCCACCACTGGAAATTCCTGATTTTCTCCCGCCCAGGCTCTAAACCCAAAATTCCAATCCTAAAAGTGAATTCCACAGAATGAGAAATTATTCCTTCGGGGAAACTTCCTTTAGGGAACATCTAAAATATCCCTAAGGTGGAGAAACACCTTTTCCTGATGTTTTTCCCTCTTTCTCCTTGTTTCTTGGAGGATCCAACTCGGTGGAGACCCACCAGGGGTGGAACATGAGGAACCATCCACGAACCATCTTCACCCAAGACTTGCAGAATTTTTCTGCACTGGAAATTCCTGATTTTCTCCTGCCCGGGCTCTAAACCCAAATTTCCAGCCCTAAAAACGCATTTCAGAGGATGAGTAATTATTCCTTTAGGGAATCTTCAAAATCTAAAATATCCCTAAGGTGGAGAAACATCTTTTCCTGATGATTTTCCTCCTTGTGGTTTGGAGGATCCAACTCAGTGGAGATCCACCAGACATAGAGCATGAAGAACGATCCACAAAACACTCAAGGCCTGCAGGATTTTGCTCTTGGAGACCACCACCACTGGAAATTCCTGATTTTCTCCCGCCCGGGCCCTAAACCCAAATTTCAAATCCTAAAAACAAGGTGAATCTTCCTACAAGGAACATCTAAAATATCTCTAAGGTAGAGAAACACCTTTTCCTGACGTTTTTCCTCCTTGTGGTTTGGAGGATCCAACTCGGTGGAGACCCACCAGGGCCGAGCATGAGGAACCATCCACAAACCATCTTTGCCCAAGACTTGCAGAATTTCTCTGCACTGGAAATTCCTGATTTTCTCCCAAATTAAACCCAAATTTCCAATCCTAAAAACAAATTCCAAGAGGATGAGAAATTATTCCTTTAGGGAATCTTCTAAATCTAAAATATCCCTGAGGTGCAGAAACACCTTTTCCTCCTTTCTTCCTGATGTTTTTCCTCCTTGTTTTTTGGAGGATCCAACTCAGTGGAGACCCACCAGGGTTGAGCATTAGGGACCATCCACAAACCATCTTCACCCAAGACCTGCAGGATTTTGCTGTTGGAGACCACCAGCACTGGAAATTCCCAATTTTCTCCTGCCCGGGCTCTAAACCCAAATTTCCAACCCCAAAAACGAATTTCAGAGGATGAGAAATTATTCCTTTGCGGAACCTTCCTGAAGGAAACATCTAAAACATCCCTAAGGTAGAAAAACACCTTTTCCTGATGTTTTTCCCTCTTCCTCCGCGCCTTTTGGAGGATCCAACTCAATGGAGACCCACCAGAGGCCGAGCACGAGGAACCATCCACAAACCAGGATTTCCCTTGGACACCACCACCACCGCAAATCCCCGACTCTCTCCCACCTTTACCTTTCCGTTTCCTCCTTCACCACCGAGTACTGGCTGGGCTGGCGGCCGGGGCGCTGCTCCTGCCCCTTCTCGCTGCCCTCCAGCTCCTGCTCCAGGGACGAGCTGGTGCTCCCCTCCCGGCTGACATTGCTGCTGCGGCCGGGGCTGTTCTCCGTGGACGCCCGCGGCGACTCCGTGTTCTGCTTCAGCGTCTGCAGCTTGGCCAGCGGGATGATGTCGCAGTTCTGGGGCCGGTGCCACACCGTCCTCTGCGTGGTGGCATTGTAGTAGTAGAAGCGCGAGGTGTTGGGGTCGAAGAGCTCCCACCACTGGTTCTCATTGGTGCGCTTGATGCGCACGCCGGCCGGCGGGTCCCACACGCACTCGCCCGTGATCAGGTTGGCGTACATGCGCTCCCGGGTGCGGGGCTCGATGATTTCCACCCATTCCAGCCTGGGAAAAGGACAGGGAGAGAAGGGGAACGTCAACCAAGAGACCTCGGAAGGTCACCCAAGCCACCCCATGATTTTGTGATTTGATGCAAGCGCGGGATGGAGAAGAGCGACTGCTCAAATCTCCCTTCCACCCTCATCGAGTCTCCCATGTACAAGACTCGGTGATCCCCACCCATTATTCCAGCGTGGAAAAGAACAGGGAGGGAGGGAAAATTCAACCAAGGTCCCTCCCAACCCCAACCACTCAATGATTCCGTGATTTGACACAAGCGTGGGATGGAGACGGGCGACTGCTCAACTCTTCCTTCCACCCCCATTAAATATTCCATGTCCAAGACTTGATGAATCCCACCCATTCCAGCCTGGGAAAGGACAGGGAGAGAAGGGAAACATCAACCGAGTGACCTTGGAAGGTCACCCAAGCCACCCCATGATTTTCTGATTTGAGGAGAGCGCGGGATGGAGAGGAGCGACTGCTCAACGCTTCCTTCCACCCCCATAGAATCTCCCGTGTCCAAGCCACAATGACTTCCACCCTTTCCTGGAAAAAGCCTGGAGAAGAACTGGGAGAGACCTTCAATCAAGGTCCCTCCCAACCCCAACCACACCAAAATTCCATTATTTGACGTGAGAACGGGATGGAGAAAAGCGACTGCTCGACTCTTTCTTCCACCCCCATCAAATATTCCACGTCCAAGACTTGATAAATCCCACCCATTCCAGCCTGGAAAGGACAGGGAGAGAAGGGAAACGTCAACCGAGTGACCTTGGAAGGTCACCCAAGGTCTGATGATTCCGTGATTTGACACGAGCAAGGGATGGAGAAGAGCGACTGCTCAAATCTTCCTTCCACCCCATCGAGTCTCCCGTGTCCAAGACACAATGACTTCCACCCTTTCCTGGAAAAAGCCTGGAAAGGAACAGGGAGAGAAGGGAAGCATCAAGCAAGTTCCCTCCCAACCATCCAATGGTTCTGTGACTTGGTGCTCAAGGAAGAAGAGCGACTGCTCAACTCTTCCTTCCACCCCCATCAAATATTCAATGTCCAAGACTCAATGATTCCCACCCATTATTCCAGCCTGCAAAAGGACAAGGAGAGAGGGGAAGCATCGACCAAGGTCTCTCCCAATCCTGTCTATCCAATGATTCCGTGATTTGACACAAACACGGGATGGAGAAGAGTGACTGCTCAACTCTTCCTTCCACCCCCATTGAATCTCCTGTGTCCAAGATTTGATGAATCCCACCCATTCCAGCCTGGGAAAGGACAAGGAGAGAAGGGGAACGCCAACCAAGAGACCTCGGAAGGTCACCCAAGCCACCCCATGATTTTCTGATTTGACGCAAGCGCGGGATGGAGAAGAACAATGGCTGAACTCTTCCTTTCATCCCCATCGAGTCTCCCATGTACAAGACTCGGTGATCCCCACCCATTATTCCAGCGTGGAAAAGAACAGGGAGAGAGGGAAAATTCAACCAAGGTCCCTCCCAACCCCAACCACTCAATGATTCCGTGATTTGACACAAGCGCGGGATGGAGACGGGCGACTGTTCAACTCTTCCTTCCACCCCCATTAAATATTCCATGTCCAAGACTTGATGAATCCCACCCATTCCAGCCTGGAAAAGGACAAGGAGAGAAGGGAAAGGCAACCGAGTGACCTTGGAAGGTCACCCAAGGTTTGATGATTCCGTGATTTGACGCGAGCAAGGGATGGAGAAGAGCGACTGCTCAACTCTTCCTTACACCTCCATCAAATATTCCATGTCCAAGACTCGACGATTCCCACCCATTATTCCAGCGTGGAAAAGAACAGGGAGAGAGGGAAAATTCAAGCAAGGTCCCTCCCAACCCCAACCACCCGATGATTCCATTTTTTGACCCGAGCGTGAGATGGAGAAGAGCGACTGCTTTTATGGAACATCTGGAAATAGATGGGAAGGGATAAAAAGAAAAGTGAGGCTTTTCGAGGAAGGAACCTGACACATCCGGGGAGTCGGACAATGATGGATCACATGGATCACATTCCCGGGAATGAACCCCTGGAGGCTCCTCAGAAACGCCAAATTTCCAAGGAAAAAAATCCCTGGAGGGGGGACCCGGGTGTGAGCCTGGCTCTGAGCCCTCAGCTGGTCCAGCTGATTTTCCAACGGGATTTAAAAACCTCTGGATGGACAAAAAGAGTGGAATTTTCAGGGTTTGGGATTCCAGCTCGGATCAAACCCCCCTAAAGGAGGAAAAGGTGTCCAGATCCTCCTGGGAATGAGAGGAAATTCCGCAATTGAGCTTTTCCCTGCAGGACAGAGACTGAAAGCAGTGGGAGGGGAGTCGTTCCTAAATCGTGGAATTCCGCAAAACTCACATCTGGCACAGAGCTGGAAGCCATTTCCAGGGAATTGGGATTGGCCAAAGAACCAGTCAAGGTGGCCAATCCCAAAGAAAGATTTGGGAATCCCAGGATATTGAGGGGCAGGGAAGGGAATGGGATGATCCTGAATGTCCTTTCCGACCTAAAGCATTCCAGGATTTTATGAGGAGCAATTGAAATTCCCGATTCCCAGCAAGGTTTTGGAGACCTTGGAATCGGCTCCGCAGCACTCGGGGGGCTCTGCTCCCCAAATTTCCCACTGCCAGGCGATCCCTTTGGAATCACAAACCAAAATATCCAAGATTTCCCAAAATGTCCGAGAACCCAAATCCTCCCATGAGTGCAAAATTCCCAGGAGAGGACAATTCCCACCTCGTTTCCCATCTTATTTCCCATCTTATTTCCCAATTTCCCGCCTTGTTTCTCATCTCCTTTTTAAAATTTAATTTAAAATTTCTTAATTTAATATTAATTAAAACCTCCTGCAAAACTCCATAAAAATTTAAATTAATAATGGAATTATTAAGTGGGTTGGGGTGAAAGGAGCTTTTAAAGCTCATCCGTTCCAATCCCTGCCCGATGGTTTATTTATTATTGATTAATTAATTAACATTTTTTTTCATTATTTTTTCTTTTTTTTCTTTTTTTTTTTCATTATTTTATTATTTATCCCCATTATTTTATTTATCATTCACTTCATTGTTGTTCCTTTAATTATTACACCCATTATTTTATTTATTACTGATTTTTTAGGAATATTTGACTTAAAATATGGAAAGAAAACCTCACAATTCCTTGATGCCAGACCTTGGAAAATCGGGAACAAATGGGAAAAAAAAAATCATGGAATGAGGGCTGGGAGCGGGGTGGATCCTCAGCCACTCCATGGAAAGTGGGAAAACTGCTCCGGTGGTTTTGCCATGGAATCGCTGCGGACCCATCCCAAAATTCCAAGATGAGGGAATTCCATCCTGGAATTTTGGGAAATTGAGTGTCGTCTCCCCAGAATTCCAAGGCAACCCTGTGGCAGGTCCACCATGGCTCAGTAATTGTGATTTTCATGGAAAATCATGGAATTTTTCCCTGTGGGAAGGGAATTTTGAGGGTCATTTTTTCCAACGCATTTCCATGTGCTGGGACACCTTCCACTATCCCAAGTTGCAATTCCTGGCCTTGGACAATTCCAGGGATGGAGCAGCCTCCGAATTCCCTGGGAATTCCATTCCAGTGCCTCGCCACCCTTCCAGGGAAGAATTCCTTCCCAAATTCCAATCAAAACCTTTCCATTTTTAATTCCAAACCCTTTCCCCTCATCCCTGTTCCTCTGACAACTTGAAGCCTCAACTCTGGGTAAAACTGATCCCGCTTGAGCTTAATTTCCTTCCTTTTTGGACAATTCAGGGATTTAAAAGAATTCCTCCAACTTCTTCCCACCAGGTCTTTGTTGGAGCTGCTCCTTTCCCACCAAAATCCCAGGAATCGCTGCGGAAATCCGATCCCGTTTCTCTCCGATTCCATGGGCAGGGACGCGTTCCGCTATCCCAGGTTGCTCCAAGCCCTGTCCAACCTGGCCTTGGACAATTCCAGGGATGGAGCAGCCACGGAATTCCCTGGGAATTCCATTCCAGCGCCTCGCCACCCTTCCAGGGAAGAATTCCTTCCCAAATTCCAATTGAAACCTCTCCATTTTTAATTCCAAATCCTTCCCTATCCTCTGACAACTTGGAGCCTCAACTGTGGGTAAAACTGATCCCGCCTGAACCCAATTTCCCTCTTTTTGGACAATTCAGGGATTTAAAACAATTCCTCCAACTTCTTCCCACCAGATCTTTGTTGGAGCTGCTCCTTTCCCACCAAAATCCCAGGAATCGCTGCGGAAATCCGATCCCGTTTCTCTCCGCTTCCGTGGGCAGGAACACATTCATGGATACGTCCCTGATTTTTTTTTTTTTTTCCCAGCCAGAATCATCATTTTTTGGGATATTTGTGAAATCTCCAGCCAGGTGAAGTTCATGGAATCGTGGAATGGTTTGGGTTGGAAGAGGCTTTGGAAGATGATCCAATCCCACCCTTTTCCATAGGCAAGGACGCTTCCCATCATCCCAGGTCGCTCCAAGCCTTGTCCAACCTGGCCTTGGACAATTCCAGGGATGGAGCAGCCGTGGAATTCCCTGGGAACTGGAGTGGGATTGGAGGAATTCCCTGGGAACTGGAGTGGAAAGCCGGGCTTGATGACCTCCAAAAATCCTTCCTGACCAAACCCATGTGATGTTCCCGTGGATCCTACGAGATTTTAATAACCCCATTAAATGAAAATTCCAAAAATCCCGTTATCCTACAAATTGTGGCCGATTCCTCCGAAACATCAACACGAGGAGGTTTTTGTTTTTTGTTGGGAAAAGCATCTCCAAAGGCTGATCCAGCAGAAAAATCCTCCTCGGGATGTCGATGCTGACCAAGAGCTTTGTCCCCGCCTTGCTCAGCAGATTCCCGGGATCGATCCCTGACCAATGGAATAAATCCATAGAGAACTGGGTGGAAATCTGGGAGCTGATCCAGCTCCTGGAGAGCCGGGATGGGAAAAAATTCCAGGGCTGGGAATGCAGAGATGGGAGGAATTCCAAGGATG